ATCAGCAATAGGAGCTTTCTTCATCCTTAGCTTATAGACCGATTTCAGTTAAATCAACTCTTTCATAGAGTTTCAAACTCGTTCAGAGTTCTCCACAGCGTCAAATCGTGAGGAGGAGATATCGTTCCAGTGAATCAAGACGTTCGGATCATCAACGGAGAGCAAACTCGACGCGAGCATTCGAGGGAGGCACTCCATCACCACCGTGAAGAACCCAGAATTAAACAAAGAGGAGGATTTGCATCAATTCTTTTCTCTTTTATAATCAGGAAATCCAATTGTAACTGAGATTAAAGGAATACAAATCAATTTTCCTTCATTTCTTTTACTGTAAAATTTTCCACAAACATGTTCTAAACAATAAAAAGTAGGAATACTTACAAACACAAGATAGGTACACTCTTATAGATATATAATCTTCTTTCTTGCTCCAGGATCCCTCAGTGACTTTTCAATTGCATTATTTGTCTCACTGGAAATATAGCTCCCTTAAGTAGTGTTCTTTGCTTGTTCGATGCTATCAACATACTTGAACAAATATCTTGGTATGCGGGTAACACTGCTTGGATACCAGATCATGCTCAGTTGATAGATGATCTATAGTAGGACAAAGTGCTTTACGTCTTCACGGTCAATTGATCATACAAGTTTTGTGAGTAGATCCTCAACATGGTGTCTGGTGGGTGTGGGAGGAGCCCTACTGCTATCACCCTCAGTTTTAGAAAAAAGAACCTCGACCAAATTCGATCTATTAGATCTCGGTTCGAGCCGACAAAATCCCTCTCATTGGAGAACCATGCATGTCTCATAACCCATTCAAGGTTGAATGAGTACTCGATGTCTTCTCTCATTTTTTTGGTATCAGTGAAGGCAAATTTCATCTTATTCTCGTCCCACTATCTTAGCACATGCTCGAAAGTGAGAAGATCAAGACCAGGAGGACCAAAATGAACATAGTGTCTGAATACACTATCTTCGTAGGCATTCCAATACCTTTGGTCTATATATTGCACTAAAGAATGAATGAATTCATAGTAAGCAGTAAAACTAAAAGTAGGCCGCAACTTTGATATGACATTTTGTCTACAAAGCAAAACAACAAGACTTAATTAGTTTAAAAATAATTTGTAGCCATAACAATTATGCTATAAAGTTGACAAAGAAACTATAATCTTAATAATAAATCCATAAGCTCAACAATCATTCAATGACCTCAACAACCAATCAATAACCTTAACAATAAAAGCATAACCTTAACAATTAACATGTCGCAAGTTAATAATAACATTAACAACTAAAAGCCACACATAAATAGTAACCTTAACAACTAACATCCATAAGTCATCAGTAATCTTTATAGCAGAATCGTAACTTTAATAACTAATGCTTAACCTTAGCAACTAACAGGTCACAAGTTAATAATAATCTTAACAACTAACATGCCACACAATAATAGCAACCTTAACAACTAACAAGCAAAAGTTAACAGTAACATTCACAACAGATTTATAATCTTAACAACTAACACAGAACCTTAATAATTAATGAATGTCCTTGACAACTAAAAGCAAACCTTCACAACTTAATTGTAACCTTCATAATTAACACAACATGCAAAATCATAAATAACTAAACTATGCAGTAAACTTACCTCTTTTTTATTGTTAAATGCATCTCTTCCACATCGCTCCTATTAGTTCCTCTCCTTAGATCAAGGAGTGTTCTCGAGGTGTCGTTGTTGTTGCCCTCTACATCAGTGCGTTGGACTGAGTTTATGTGTTGAACGGGACTTGTGGGAGGAGGATAACTAGCTGCTATGTCCTCTAGAACATCAACAATTGATGTGCCAGCTTCAGTCCACTCTGTGCTCGAAGGCCTTCTTTTGATGACGTACCGTGACGAGTTGTCGTCTTCGTTGATATTTAGTAGGACGACCACTTTGGGAGCTGACTTGTCGGCCATAATTCCGACCAGGGTGTATGATGGAAAGATTACAAGAGAATAGGTTGGATTCTGCTCCGGGGGCGTATTGATTTAGAATTAGGGTTTAGAAATTAGGGATAGTCTGTTCGCTTGGACAAAAGAGAGGCTGACACGCTCAACGAGGAGTGATTTTAAGAAGTGAGAGGCGGTTAAATAAAAGGGCATTTTGGGAATTTTTTTAAACTTCGGGTCACGAGGGAAGGGGGGTTGGGGGTGAAAGGAATTATGAATTTGCTTTTGGGGGCTTTGGGGCCTGACTAGAAGCAATTTTCCCTAAATTTTAATTGTGATTTCCGATCATGTACGTAGTCTATTTGCCATGCATATTATGATAAAATAGCCAATCGTTTCCTTGGTCTATTATGGATAACATGAGAAAACTGAATAATAATTAAAAAAAATCATCTCTCCAAAATTTATATGCGGATATTTTGAGCCTTGAGAGGACAATAATTTTTGTAAAATAGTTACCGGCTAAAATTTAGATTGGACTGGGGGTCTCTTTCTCCAGATCTCTAATTTATATCACGAGAACCATAGATTCTCCCTTGCTAAAGATAGTGAGCACGTGGATTAGGTTAGAAACAAATAAGGGAATATCGGATGAGGGTCGCATGAGTGGGTCTTACAAAGCAAAATATTTGATATGTAGAATTTGGAAAAAAAGATATTTACAAGAAACTCAAGAATCTGAATCAAGTTCCTTGAAATGTTAATTTATGAGTGTGAGTTTGGTATATTACTGTAGTATTATTACTATAGCATAGACAGAAGGATCCACAAGTTACTACTCATGCTACAATAAATTACTATAGCACAGGCGGGAGCTGTAGCATTTAAAAACATCACTGTAGCATTATTACTGTAGTTCATGCTAGATAATGTAGCATTTAAAAATGTTACTATAATATTTAAAAAACTGTATTTAATTACAAAATTATTGTAGCAGAAATATTAAAATGGAGGCCATGCTTTGCATAGGATGCACATATTTAAAAAACTGTATTTAATTACAAAATTATTGTAGCAGAAATATTAAAATGGAGGCCATGCTTTGCATAGGATGCACATATTTAAAAAACTGTATTTAATTACAAAATTATTGTAGCAGAAATATTAAAATGGAGGCCATGCTTTGCATAGGATGCAC